ATGAGCTGGTGTTTTCTTTGCCTGACTGATTCGTTTGCTGTGTTCCTCAGTTTGAGGATTAGAAGGCATGGGGTTTGATTGGGAAGCTTGGGTCTTTTTTCCCTTGCGTTTTGCAGTGGCTTTGTGCCTGTGAGTAGGCGGATCAGTGCTCACAGTTTCGATTGTTTGCTCAGTGCTCACAGATTCCATTGTTTGCTCAGTAGAGTGATCAGTAGTCGCTTGGGTTTTTTCGACCTCAGTGGGTTGAATAGATTTGGATTCAGATTGCTGAGTAGGTATTTTATTTATACGTTTGCTGATGAGCAAGCGTTTAGGACATTTCGGCGCCAAGGATGAGTGACCCTCTTTCCTGCAGTTTGTGCACCATGTGTTGCAGTTTTCTTTGCAAGAAACTCGGGAACAGTTTTTGCACTTGGGTGGCTGGTTACATGATGTTTTTGTATGTCCATAGAGCATACAGTTTGTGCACTGGGTTGGCCTTTTCCTGTATGGCATGGTTTCTATGTCCTTGCCACCTAGATTAAGGTGGCCGGGGACTGACTGTCCAAGTAATGTGAGTATTACTACTCGTGTGTTGTTTGTGCCCATTGATTTGATCCTGAATGCCGACAGGATTGTAGGTTGAGTGACTTTCTTTTGGGCTTGACAGACAATTTGATAAAGCTCGTCGTCATTAATTTTTTTGTCTAGATGTACCGCACATCTGACATTGCTAAGCCACTTTGGGGTATCCCATTTTAGTTTGATCCCGTTTATGCTTTTGGGCATATCAATTGACTCTGTGAGGTTGTCCCCGACAACAACATACCCTCTTCCACACTTATTTATTCGAATAATATTTTTGTGCTTCAGCTCTTTGGCAATATCTTGAGCTGTTAGGATCTTATTAAGATCTTGGGAGAAGTCTGCGCTAAAGACTACTTTTTCCCATTTGGTTTGTGGTCTTCTATTTTGTTGTGTCTTTGATTCTGATGAGACCATTTTTTGTCGTTTCTGTACCATTTTAGCCTTAGGTGGGCTAGATTGAGGCTGTTTGCGTTTAAGCATGCCTTGAGCCCATAGGGCACTATAATCAATATTTTCTTTGTTTTTAGTTCCTGAGAACGTGAATCTATCCTGAAAACGGTCAGGGACATTTAGCGCGGCTTGACTATAAGTCAAGTTGGCTGTTTTTTTGGCAGTTTTTCTCGTGACCAGAGTGAAGGGATTCCCTTCATTTGGGTTGGGCTGACCCTTTCGAGAACTGGGCTGGTTCTCTTGAGAGTTGGGCGAACTCTCAACAATTGTAATTTCTGGACATAAGTCCGCCATCTCCATTTCCAAGTTCATATTTGTCAGTCCCAGGGGCCTGGGTGATTGACAGCCGTGCAGTTTAAGCTGGTGAGCGAACCGAGCTTGGTAGGCGCGGAGGGTTGTGTACAGTACAACTGAGGGGGCTTTAGGGGTTGCTTATATAGTAATTTTGAAATTTTGAGATTTGGAATGAATGCCAAGAGTGGGTGGAGGACGAACTAAGTCAGGCCATTTGTCATACACCTTGTTACTGCCAATCGTCATACAGTTGAGTAGGGGGTAATTAGAGCACTCACCTTAAGCTGTAATGGTCTGACCCAACACTCTGACTTAAGGTCTTTGTTACAACAATGTTAAATTCATAAAGGGTGAGTTGTTGTGAGCTGGTTATCTTGTGAGAAGAGGGTATTAAAATGATCAAAGTCACTGTAAGTTCTTTTACTAACAAATAATTAATATGTTGTTTTAATAAATACTTTGCCCTTTGAGCTTAATAAATGTAATTCATGTAATCCTATGAAAGGAGACTAGAGATGTTTGAGATGAGAAACTGTTTAACTGATGAGGTGTATTTTGTGATCACACATATATGTACGGTATAAATACCGTATCAATTGCTTTTACATCAGGCTGAAACCATTGCTCACGTGTTACTAGAATGTCAAGACCATGCCCCAGCCCGGGCTAGGTCAAAACAAGAATTGCAGTTAGATCCGCTATCTGTCATGGATCTCCTAAAGCCAAGAGATGCAATAGCGAAGGTCAAACTAACTCTATTTCTGAGAGATTGGCAGCTACTCGAACGTATATATATACAGAGCAGCCAAGGATAAAAATGAAATCATATCAATATAAGAAAATAGAAATCATATCAATACAAAAACAGAAATTATGTGAATACCAGACTCACAATAAATATGTGTACCCTACTCACACACAGGAGTCCCAAAGAGGGACAGGTCAGCCGAAATTGCTTAGGCAGAAGGCGACCTCTTAAACACTTAATGCAACAACAACAACATTTTACATCATTCACAATCATGGCTCTGCGACTTGTAGAATACGTTACGTCAGCCCGCGGTACCAGGCAGGTTCTCTTTGAAGGATACTTGTTCAACAAGAATGCAACAAGACAGACAGCACTGGCGCTGTGTAATTAAATCTTGCTCCGGCAAGTGCACTACTGTTGGTGATTTTGTGAGGAAAGGGTCAGAGCACAACCACCCCCCAGATAATTCAAACCGAGTTCGTTTTGTCAGCAACATGAGGAAGAGAGCAAGAGAGGAAACAACCCCGATACAGCAGCTCTACAACCAACCGAAATCGCTAAAGAAGATGATGACCAAGCCCAAGCCCTCCCTGCCTTCCCCAGCATGGGCAGCGCCCTTTACCGCCACAGAAGGAAGACCATACCCGTCCTGCCCCAAACCAGAGCCCAAGTGGACCTAGATGATGCCTGGAGCCATACATCAGATGGGGACTGCTTCCTCCTATTCAGCGATGGAGAAGAAAATAAGATGCTTGCCTTTGCCACAGATGAGCAGCTACAGATCCTACAAGGTGCCGAGACGATATACATGGATGGTACCTTTACCGCCTGCCCTGCCCTTTAGGATCAAGTGTACATACTTGACGTCAGAAGTGGATCTGCCAGCTATCTTGTAGTTTATGCTTTGCTATCCGACCGCCAGATGACAACGTACAGAAGACTGTTAAGCTTTTTGAAGACCATGTTGCAGACACCCTGAACAGAGAACTTGCCCCCACTCGCCTGCAGACAGATTTTGAACAAGCAGCAATCCATGCCATCCAGTTCCCCAACGCTGAAGTCCACTACAACCAAGCCATATGGAGGAAGACACAAGACCTCGGGTCGGCTGTAGCCTATAAAGAAGATCCAGCAGTGCAACAGTGGATTAGACGGGCAGCAGGTCTAGCGCTTCTCCCCTCAGATGATGTCAAAGACGCCTGGCTAGAAGCGATGCAGCACACACCTGATCTACCCAGAGCTGAGACCTTCAACGACTACGTGGTATTCACTTGGGTAGATTATGATGCTCGCTTTCCGATTCTCCTATGGAATCACCAGGACACCACTGGCCCGAGGACCAACAACAACCTGGAAGGCTTCCACAAACAAGCTGAATAGAAGTCTTCCTCACCAACACCCCAACATCTGCCGTCTGACAGAAGTCTTCCGAATGACTGTGAAAGCTGACAAGGTGAAATTGGCGCAGATCAACCTCGGTGCACCTGAACCAAGTAGAAAGCGGGTCTACCGTGAGGTTGACAATAGACTCCAGAGACTGAAAGATCAACTGACCCAAGGAAGGAAAAGTCCAATCCAGTTCCTTGATGCTACAGGTCACCTATTGAAGCTTGGATAGCCATTATCCGCCATTATGATGCTTTGAATTATGTTATTAATTCTTGTTAAACAGAGAATCTCACCCTCGTGTCTTTTGATATCAAATATATCAACGAGTGTTGATATATTTGATATCAAAAGACACGAGGGTGAGATTTTATTTATCATCCAACATCATTCTTCCAACTTTTTCAATTGTAGACAGTAATTAGCAGTGTCTTCAGTGTAAAAAGTACTGCTAACAGCTTCAGTAGCAGAGCCATAAGTGATGTCATTTGATTGTGATGTCATGGTTACCAGTGATGTCACAATGGTCTGCAAAGCATTGTGATGTAATTTCATTGCAGCGATATCTATAGTGTAGATATCGCTTGATCTAATCCAAGCATATCTCCTGTGGGAGCCAGTTTTGGATGATAAACATGGATCATATATTTAATATTATGTTGAATAAACCATACTAATTTATTAAATATTTTTCTGCTTTACAGTTTGTTTTCTTACAATCTGCAAATGAATTAGCACAAGATCATTCATAATTATAATCCTGGTGTTCCCTATAATTCAAACTTAAACATAAACACAGTTAATGATCTGTGTGGAACAGTCAATATTGATAGGTAGAAGGCAGGGGATTAGTGGTCCAGTCATGCACATCCTGTGTTGTTATAAGCTGTATGCCAAATGGCCTGTATGACTGATGGGAGTATACCCCCAACGAATATGGCTGATCCGTAACATTCTCGTCAAATTGGTACCCGTACCAATATTTGGATGACTCGCATCCACTATTTTTTGTAAATATTTTGCAAATGTCAGAAACGGGAATGCCTTAACCCGTACAGGCCGGGATAACGAAAGAAATATAGGTTTCTAATAATCTATTCAGCACTAAATTCTCAAATATTTTGACCTGCACTTTCATAGCAATTTATTCACGACACTGTTACATTTCCAAAATTCATTCAATTCACATTTCCAACATTTGTTCTTTAGACATTTCCAAAATTCATTCAATTCATATTTCAAACATTCATTCATTGTTTGGTGAATGAACAATTAATCAATCAACTCATGAATGCGAAGTGACTATGAATGGGTGATTACTATAACAAGTCATTTATATTTTCATTGGGTATTTTCATTCGCGTTTTTTTGGTATGTGTATTCCAGTTGATTAGGTACAAGTGGGTACGGGTTATCCAACATTTGGGTAGGAGTCCGCTAAATTCGTTTGGGTAATGATCTTCGTGGGTAGGGATTGTTTAGTTCACCCAATGAACCCCCATTTATCGTCACATGATCACGAGTTTATCACATGACACGTGGTCATGTGACATTTGACAAGATGGCGGAACAACACCACACTGAATCTCATTTCCACTGTCCGATATGTAAAAACGTTTTCGAACGTCCCAAAGCCATACCATGTCTCCACACGTTCTGTCAAGAATGCCTCGAAAGCCACGTTACCAGGAACGGCAACGGCGGGCGATTTCCCTGTCCAGTTTGTCGACAGACCATATATGTTCCATCAGGGGGCGTGTGGAGCTTCCCCGATAATTATCTTATTCTTCATCTTCGAGAAGTAACGTCTGTGTCTGAGAGTACTGGAGAGATGGCAACACTTCCCGTCGACCAACCCCCGACATACCAGACTCTGTACGGAGACAAGGCATTCGACTGGGAGAACAGTGACGTGTTTGTTGTCAACAATCAACACTCGATGGCAGTATTTACCAACAAATTCGCTGGGCACGGCACCGGTCAAGGGGATTTTACGCACGTTTCAGGACTCGCCGTGAATCCGTTGAACGACAACATCATCGTCACCGATTGCAGCTTGAATAAGGTTGCAATATTCAGCGTCAGGGGCGATTTCCTGTCAAGTTTCTATACTGACTGCTCTATTCGGGACGTGTGTGTGACAAGTTTTAACACTGTGCTGTTATCAGTGAGTCGTTCTGGGGCGGCTTTACTTCGGGAGTATGCTATGGATGGTCACCTAATAGCAGCATTTGGGAGTTTCTACAAGTACGATAATCCATGTGGAATTTCACTGGACAACACTCAGAAGGTTGTAGTGACCAGCCTTGAAAAGAACACAGTGCATGTGTTGACCGATCAAAAGAAGCCATGCACCAACTTCGGCTCCAAAGGTTCCGGCCACAATCATTTCATTCAACCATCGTATGTCACAGTTAACAACAGAAATGAAATTGTTGTGTCTGACACTGGCAACCACAGAATCAAGATTCATGAAATGAATGGTCAGTTTATTCGTCAGATGGGGTCACAGGGCCATGTGTACGGACAGTTGTTCTATCCCATGGGGCTCTGTGTTGACCAATGTGACAACATCTATGTCGCAGATGCCAACAACTACAGAGTTCAAGTCTTCACAGCGGAGGGTGATTTTCTCGCATGTCCGGTTCGTCGCACTTTTGAAGTTGGAGTTGATGTGAAACCAACCAATGTGGTCATCTCACGAAATCGACTTGTGGTTGCATTGAGAGGCTCCAGGCAGTCAGAGGTTCGCTTGTATAAGTGGGATGTTCCTCTACTCAATGTGAAACCGTCTAGCTACCAGTTGGGATCTGCATGTTGTCTTATCACATGCTGTGTTAAGTCTGATTATGAAGAAATATGAGGACCAATTTGCAACTTAAATTGCAGAATCCATTGAAGTATTTGTTGAAATGTTTTGTTGCCAAATTAAGATATTTTATGACTGCTTAGCTGTGGATTTAATGCCAAAATATTGTACTTGCTCCTGAATTACGATTCTAGGACATAGTTCACTTGTATTAGTTAGCAATGGTTAGCTTGTTTGGAAAACTGGACTTTTCCTGGGAAATTAGATAGTGATAATAGGTGAGGGAACACAGTTAGAAGGTAAAGGATACAGAGTTACACACAGGTAGCATGGTTAAGCTTTCTATTGTCTATAGCATGTATAGAGTGGTGCTTTTAACAACTGGTCTGAAATGAATGGTATACAAGATGAGTTTAGCTCACTGTTTCTGTGTATGCAGCACATACACTATCGTGTAAACATAGCTGGTCATTGCTAGTAAATGATGTACAAGGACAATATGTTGTAAAAATGCTATTGGTCACCGGTTGTTTAGCATGTTTATTGACAATAATTTGCAAATTATTATGTACTCAACATTGTGAACATCTGAAAATTGAGTGAAGAGATGAAAAACTGTATGTGGAGAAATATAAATTTGGCATATGGAACAGATTACTGTACATGTAGAAGTTCCGTTTGACATTTGTAATAATGTAATTGCTAATGTTCCTGTGCTACATGCAAAACCCTCTGTAAACTAGCTTAAAGCAAAGTGTTTGATTAACTGATTATGATTATTTTTTTCTCAACTGTATTATTTCTTTTGAACAATATGACATGTGTAAGTTGTGAGGTGCAATGCAGTACAGCATGTACAAACAGGGATTTGTCTGCATAATGTCTGCCATCTTCCTGAGGCAAGGGAGTTAACTGACTATAAAAGTCCAGTTTCCACCCTTGCCAAACTAGACTGGAATTATGGAGTTATATATTCGCTGGACTAACGAGTATGTGCATAGTCTAATCAAATCGCGTAACAAAATAGGCATCCAGTTCTAAAACTGCCATGCAGATTTCGGTCGATTGTAGGATTTGCTAAGCATGTGTACTGTATCTGTCAACAGATATTTTCCAAATCTTTTCATGTTTGTAAACAAGGTACTAACATTATTTGATGCACTATGCGAAGTAAGACCCGTTTTTTTACAGTATAGATCTTGATTATCGATCAGATCGTCTTGACTGGTCGACACCATTTTATTTGAAGCAGATGCAAGTGATATGAGAGGTGGAATCTGATTGGTCAATAGGAGGGACATATCTCATAATATGGCGCTACGATCGAGCCCAGATATTGTGCGTATCATCAAAATATTGTGAAGTAACCCTGCGTATTCGATTAGCAAATCAGCAACTTATTTTGAAATTATAAAAGGGCATTCCATGACAGTTACATCATAATCATTTGCCATCACACTTTCTTGTGGAAGTATCGTGGTATTTTTGAGTCCTATAAAGCTCTCGAACCCACATGACACCAGTTTGCAGGGACTAGATGTTTTTAATTAGAATAGTGTTTTTAAATATTTAACTTAAATACCCACATGTGTAAAAACTAGTGGGTAACAGAAATTTGAATACCCAGATAGAATTTCTGATACCCAATGATTTTAAAATGCATGGGCAAAATACCCACAACACCAAAAGCTTATCTGGAGCTCTGTTGATGTGATGGTCCTGATGACAAGATGTTGAGACAACGAGGAGGCTCATTCAGATGGGCAATATTTCATTGTACATTCCCCTCTGAGCTCAGATGGAATTATGTGATAGATTTGTATATAACATGGGTTGTTTACTGTGGAGCACTATGACATTGTTATTGTTGCAACTTGCTCAGAGATTATGATTATTAAGCACTTGTATGAAACAAGGTGTATATGAGTGTATTTAGGGGCATTGTATAGTATTTTCATCTGGAAAAGCAGTGAACTATTTTCAATGTTATTCGAGTATGGTACTTTTTGAGCATTCTTGTTAATGATTGTGTAAATATTGTGTAAATATTGCTTAATGCCAAATCAGCACATGCAATGAATAAGGCTTCAGTTTACTTCAAGATATGCATTGATGTATAGAACTTTATGCCTTGATATATAGGACTCTGATCTTATTGCACCTTTAGCATTAATTATGAAAACATTGTCAGATGCCTTAATGTCCTGAATATCGTCACGGATACATAATGACATCCTAAATCTGATCTGAATATAATTAGAGCAAGGGCGGATGCAGCATTTTTAAGTCCTGAATATCGTCACGGATACATAATGACATCCTTAATCTGATCTGAATACAGTTAGAGCAAGGGCGGATCCAGCATTTTTAAAAGGGAGGGTCCAAAATGTCAAAAGCCTCTCTCGGGTCTGGACCCCCTGGACCGCCCCCTCTGGATTTTGCCTATGATTAGAAAGAGCCTACTTTTACTGTGTGGTTGAGCGAGTGAGTAGTTTTCCACAACTGGTAAATAATCCAATCTACACCCTATACACCAGTCAATAGCATAAGCAGACTATCAATGTATCACAATAATCCAGTGACCACACTTCTCACTTCCGTCGTGCTGGGGACCTAATGGGCCTCCTAATCCCCACATCGTCCATACTTCCTCCGTTTGTATACACTGTGAGCTTCCATCACCTGTGCATGCCATCGCTATATAAGTGCAACAATCTTGGACGCGACCTTAAACCCCATTTCACCTCGCCTCCATCCCCTGTAAATATCTGGAACTGCAGTGCAGGGTGACAGCGAGGTGTGTCTATTCTTTATCAGGCAATGAAATGAGGCTGTGTATCACAGAAGTCAAAGTAGCCCTCCTCCACACATGGTTTTTGTGCAAACCCTACCACTGGCTGATACTGAAGCAGTGTGCAGAGGGCACAAGGTCATAGCACATCAAACGAGACATTGGTCTGATCTGATCTTCCTCAGGCAAGGACTATAAAAGTCCAGTTTCCACGCTTGCCGATCTAAGCTGGAACATGGAATTATATTTTAGCTGGGCTAATGAGTCTCTGCAAAATCTACATCCGTTCGGAAACTGCCGTGCCGATTTCGGTCGATAGCAGGATTTGGAAAGCATGTGTACAGCCAACTTGGCGTCAACAGATATTTTTCAATTCCTTTCATGTTTTTAATCAAGGTGTTCACATGATTTGATGCACTTCAGAAGTAAGACTAGTTTTTCTAAAATATAGATCTTGCTTATTGATCAGATTGTCTTGACTTGCCGCCACCATTTTGTTTGAAGCAAATGCAAGTGATATGAGAGGTGGAATCTCATTGGTCAATAGGAGGAATATAGAAGGGACATAACTTGTAATAGCCACTGGTGGCGCTACGATCAAGCCCAGAAATCCAGTCAAGTTCAGCAAGGGTGGAAACTGGACTTTTATAGTGAGTTAACTCCCTTGCCCTAGGAAGATGGATCTCTCACTGGTTTCCCTCTTACTGGAGTGAGGCCCTGACTTGATTCATTGGTTAAAGAGACTAGATCGCAAAGCGGCTGTATGTAGAAACAGCATACAAACTAGGGCTGGGAGGGGTAATTCGGGTACCCGGGTCGGTTGGGTACTGAGTAGGACCCGGACCCACAGGACTACCCGGACCCATGGTTAGTCACATGATATATTTTATCTAGAGCTCTATGGTTACACTACAAGTCACTAATGTTCGCATTTCTTTCTGACTATGCACCCATTCCTTCTGACTTTTCATATGGTTGAATAAACATATAACTTAAGTCAACTTCAGTGTATACATAACCAGATTGTTCAATACATTTCTCTAAATACGTTTTGCCAGGGCTATGGTAAAACAAAATGCCCAATCGGACATTTTGTACCTATCTCTTGAGACCTACAGTGGGTACCCAGGTAGGGTCAGGTAATAGGGGTGAGGGTACCCGGGTAGTATATTCGGACTCGTCCCAGCCCTAGTACAAACCTTTAAGTCTTGACTCTTCTCCTCTCGTGAGATAGATCTGATGATAATCACCTTATAGGATGAGTTTTGAGTTTATTCACTGATGGCCTATAACATGTATAGTCTTGCCAAGTCCGGTGTTAACAGCTTCCATGTCTTGTCTTCCTTGATATACTTGAGCTTAATGTACTTTCACCACGTACAAACCCACTTGTGATATATACACAGATCTGTGACATGTCTCTATCATTACACCTTGACATTCTTCTTTTACTGGGGGGACATTTTTGTCCCCTCAGTTTATTTACTGTACATCGTGTATTTATAAATAAATTCCATTGAAATCTTCAGCTTGTGTTTTTTATGAGCTTTTTGTTACCTTCTTTTCTGGCCTGTTTGTCCGGCGTCCAGCACCAATCATAAATTATGCATCATGTTTTACGTGAGTATCCTGTATTGGGAATAAAAATTATGTATTAATCTGGCAAATACATTTAGTTTATTCCTAATACAATGGGTACCTTAACCCTGCCAGTTTCTTGGATTGGTTATGTCAAAAGGTCAATGTTAGAGGCAGTATACATGCAGGTCCAACTGAAACCTGTTTTTAAGACACTGATTTTGGTACCTGGACTAGTATTTGAATAAGGATATGAAAGACATGGAATGACATAAGAGATGCGTTGATGATCATTTGAAAAATAAATACCAAGGTATTTTTTTGTTCCGATTTCTGCATGTGATCTTTACGGGTTATCAGTTCGGTGTCGACACGCCGCCGGTCACAAGTTTCCTTGTTACTGCGTGTGAAAGTTCCTTGCAGCTGCTGGTACTTTCACAGTGGTGACGTTCCTGCTCGGGAATATGTTCACAGTAATGTTTACCCCATGACCCCCGAACACAGTGACTTGATTGCAGATAGACAAGGGTAAACACTGAAAGTTGTACCCACCGGATCCTTTTATTATCCCCCTGTCATGAAGTGGGGCAGGGGCTATAGGAACGGAGTTCGTCCATCCCTTCATCCATCCGCTTCTCAAAGGGGACATATTTTCTCAAAACTATTTCAGTCAGAGAAATGAAATCTTTTACACTTGTGCTACTGGTCATGATCACAAATGAGTTTGAAATTAGTATCGTAAATTCATTTTTTTCTGAGTTACAGCCCTTGATGAGTTGATCCATGTCATGTGACTTAGTACAGTGTGTGTGCAATGGGGACAAGTTTTCTCAGAAACTACTGAAGCTACTTGAATGAAAGTTTTGCATGCTTATCTAAGAGGTACTGGTCAAGACTCAGTTCCAATATTGGTTCTGTAAATTATTTTTTACAGTGTTACGGCACTTGATCCATTAACATTACCTTAGGCATAGTGTGCAATGGTGACAAGTTTTTTCAGAAACTACTGAAGTAAGCTTATCAAAGAAATACTTATCAAGACTGAGTTATTATTTCCAGAGAAGGGCCTTTTGTGTGTATTAATTTCACATCTAATCATTTTTTTCTGATGACATAAAGCAGCCCAAATGCCTATCTCTTCTAAAGGCTTTACAGGAAACTTTTTTATAGTTTATATTCACAACTATATGAGCAAACAAAATTCTAATGTGCCCCATGGCGGCGGATAGTGATAACACTGTTTTTCTTTTTGCATATGTATCTGTAAAAATCACCTGAACACATGACATTTTCTTCAATTGGCTTTATCCTTCCCAAGAAACCTACCCATTTTTGTATGATAAAATTTGATACACATTTATTTCATAGTGTAGCACCTCACTGATACGCTCCTGGGGAACTATTCAAATCCTCACGGTAGAAACCCACATCATAGTAATTGTGATGACAGACAAAGGAGTGAGTGAGTGAGTGAGTATGGTTTTACGCCCCTTTTAGCAATATTCCAGCAATATCACGCCGGGGGACACCAGAAATGGGCTTCACACATTGTACCCATGTCGGGAATCGAACCCGGGTCTTCGGCGTGACGAGCGAATGCTTTAACCACTAGGCTACCCGACCGCCCGACAGACAAAGGAACATTAATGGGGTAAATCTGGGAACACATGATCCTGGCATGGTCAAGGAACACAACCCTGCTCGGTGAGGCACCTGAGCTTGCCTTCTTTCATAAAGTCATAAAGACAGTCATTTGTTAAATATTACTGACATCTAAATATAACCTGTTAAGATATGAATAGGTGTTCATTGGTGAAGAAATGACATTACAGTTTGATAAATTATTTATTATTTCATCAAAAATACAAAAATCATAACATACACTGTTTATATGGAATAATAAAAAAGGCAATATAAAAACTTGATAACAACAAAAGGTTTATCATCTATGAGCCATAGCCAAGTGTAAACAATGTAAATGCCACTAGGTACAATCTAGGATATATAACATGCGTACAAATATAAGAATAGATTATTCACAACAAATAGGAATTAAAAACAATAAAATTCCTCCAATGTAAAACTAACAGTAATGTTATATGGAATTGTAAATGCAATTACTTATATTCTTTAAGTATTTCACAATACCTGTGTAACATTGTAGGGCTAATAAAACCAAATTCATTACCAGGTACACCACAACTATCTACCTGCTCAGGTACATTTGCAATCATACCAGTAACAACCCTCTTAAAAACATCCTACTGGACTTCAGTGACCTTAAAATATCATTGTATTATTGAAATACACATATATGTTCAATCATTCCAAAACAGACAACCATAGAAAAAACTCTCAACCTTACCCTGGTTTGTGTCTATTACAACTGATATCAACAGCTAACAAGGAAGTTAAGCATGAAAGTCACGGTGTCCTTGACCATTACAACATTACAAATCTAGGGCACCTGATTTACATACCACTGCAGCATAACTCAAGGACCTCCCCCCACCAGCTCCCTAATTTCAAACCCTCAAAGTTACGTGGCCAGGGGAAAAGGGTAGCAGCAAGATTGTAGCAATGTACAGCTTTGTTTTTACTATCCAACATCCGCTGTTGCTAATACATACTGGTTGCTAATGCATAGCTAATTCTTGCCTTAACACCGTTCTACTAACATCTAATGCTGACTTTGCATTGGTCTTCACATGATCTGTCAGAGTGCAAATTACAGAATATTGTGGGGACAAATTTACTTCCTCCAATGCTGTAGCTATTATTGTCCAAGGCAGTAAACTTGACCCATAATGTTTCTTAACTGAACTCTCACAATAATACATTTCTCAAGGAAATTTGGCTGTATTTATTTTGGTAAATGGTTTGGGAACACGGGGGAATAAAATGTTCAAATAAAACGTGCAACATGTCAGACAGAACTTGTGAAGGCCAGTGCAAAATCAGCATCAGATTTGAGTAGATTGTTATGAAGGTGTGAATCGTTACTGTGTATTAGTGACAAGTGGAGGATGGAGAGAGACAGCAGAGCAGCACATACAACGTCCAGGTACAAAATGTATCTTACTGGACGAGAAAACTCAGGTACACAATCCTTGGTGTCTTCAGAACCAAACTTGTCTAAACAGATCTCAAGAATGAAAAGATTGGTAAGTTACATACAAACAAAGAATTCAAATAACTTGCATATTAAAAAATAGATTTGGCTTCTACATATGAAATGTTGAAAGGTAGTGGTAGTATTAAGTCTGAGTCCTATAGACAATCACAATCTTACATCCTGAGTATGTAAACTGTGTGGAATGGAATAAGTATTCTTTGGCATGGCCTGCTTAAAACTAGAAATAGTTAATACATCTGAATGGAACTGTTTCAACATAAAATATAATTTTGGTATCAGAAAATATCAAATTGTAAAAATATGTTATAAATATAATTTAAACTAAGTTTGATCTAATGTGATATTAAACATCTGACTGACATAAATGAGCTCAAGAGCTATTTCTTTGCTGGAAATGTATGACATCCCTTATATAAATACTTGCCAATAATCAATGCATACTACAACTTAATTTTCAGTTTAAAAATTTAAACAAATGGATTGTCACTTTAAAAACTTTTCATACAGAAACTAAAACACACTTATTCAATAAACATACTTTTTCAGGTGATCCTAATAAATAACATCACCAGACTTGCTTCATGTCTGTATTTCTATTATTTTTTAATCTTAAATTAGTAATCTGCAGCTTGACTAACTTAACACAAATGGAAAAGGTAGTTCTAAATAACTGCCCACCCAGTGACTCTCAATATGTGCCCTTGACCTTTATCATGTTGAGTATAGAATGATAAATACAATACATGCTCCATGTATACACTTGAAGTTTGTTTATGAGGCCTTGAACAGTTTGTTTATAGACGCTTTGAACAGTTTGTTTAAAGATGCCTTGAACAGTTTGTTTATAGATGCCTTGAACAGTTTGTTTATAGATGCCTTGAACAGTTTGTTTAAAGATGCCTTGAACAGTTTGTTTATAGATGCCTTGAACAGTTTGTTTATAGATGCCTTGAACAGTTTGTTTATAGATGCCTTGAACAGTTTGTCTATAGACTTTGAACAGTTTGTTTATAGATGCCTTGAACAGTTTGTCTATAGATGCCTTGAACAGTTTGTTTATAGATGCCTTGAACAGTTTGTTTATAGATGCCTTGAACAGTTTGTTTATAGATGCCTTGAACAGTTTGTTTATAGATGCCTTGAACAGTTTGTCTATAGACGCTTTGAACAGTTTGTTTATAGATGCCTTGAACAGTTTGTTTATAGATGCCTTGAACAGTTTGTTTATAGATGCCTTGAACAGTTTGTTTATAGACGCTTTGAACAGTTATTTATAGATGCCTTGAACAGATTGTTTATACATGTTATAAACAAAATCAAATAGGAAAAATAAAATGCACCTCATCTCAAGTTTCTGACAAAATTGGATGACAATCTACTAATGAGTCAGTTGTGGGCCATGAATGCTTCCACATGGTCAATATTTTTGCAGTACTTGCAAGTAAACTTAACATGTCTGGAAGAGTGTCTTTTCTCCATTAGAATTGTCTAATCAACAGTATCATATACCACGGTATCTCCGAGATATCTCTTCAGCAACCTCAATGGAATAAAATTGTAATGTGAACATAACAGTTTTACATACTATCATTAATATATTTGTAGTTATCACAAAATCTTCTCAAGTCACAGGGACCTAAAATAATCTCATTTATCGTGGAAGAAAGTATCAGGCTACAAAAACAAAATAAATAGTTTCTAAACTTAAATCTTAATTTTCTTATTAAGCAAAACAGTTTCCATAGTTACTGAATGGATGTGAATTACCATGGTTACGCTATGCATGCAGTTGGCACTGGTGTGATAGGCTAGGCGTCAGAATGAGTTCACCTCAGAAGAGGCAGGCTTCAGTGAGTAGGTTGTCTCTGGAGAGATGTTTGGAACATTCTGAAATTCAGGAATACATATTAAAGTGCATACTCATGCAAATAATACCATATTTGCTGTAATATGTGCCCCAGACACTTAGAGGATTGACAAACCGGGGCGCTTATTAAAACTGTTCATGAGTTATATTTGTTTTCAGACATCCATTGGTAGGGAAACGGCAATTAAACTAAAGAATTTTGATGATAGGTATGCTGCTGTTTTCTGCACGAAACCTGTACAATATACAAGAAATATGGAAATGTGGGTTTCCCCACTAACATGGTCAGGATAAATCATGTAACCTTAGTAGGGCGTTTAAAAGACTTACAGATTGGTCCATAAGTTTGTCAGGGGTGCATTTTGGAGCAGGGTGCTTGATACGGAAAATTTGGTACATACATTTGTTGCTGTTAATAATGAAGAAACTAATCTATAAAAATCTGAAAATGTCAATATTTCAAATCTTATAAGCTTAAAAATAAATAAATTTATCATATAATAGGTAGGTTTCTCGGCAGGATATAGCAAATGGATAAAACTGATATCCGTTGGGGTCATATGTCGATGCAAATATCAAAGGTCAAGTATGGACTACTTTCAATGGTTACAAACAAACATGGCGTCGCCCTTGTCATTGGGCGATTGAGTCAGAGTCAAGTACAATGTTTATCCCTAATACAGGATATTTACAATCATCAAACACACTCACATTATAACCTCTATTGATTTAATAGTTCCTTATTACTTACAACAATTCACAATTGAGCTAAAAAAGGATGGGTTATGTCCCTTTGAATGTGATGTTGTTAGACCCTACCAGTCGGAAAGACATTGCTATGTGTCAAAAGTATTCTTCATATTTGACTAATGACACTATCAATACTATTGGTAGTCTAAAATGGAAGTTGATATTTCAGGCTGTCATTGACAACTAGTATGACTTCACATTAGTCATAACTAAACACTTTGCAAATTAACAATCATATCGATGTTCCAAGTCTTGTCATTTCTGGGGGACAATCTCATTAAAATCAGACCTCAGTTCTCGCTACTGCTAAACAAAGATCTGAGGACATCCCATTAGGGGTCACATCAGAACGACCTTTCATCCCACCAATCAGAGCATCACTTACCAGATTATGAAAGTGACAGTCGGAATGTGCTTTCTAATCATGCAACCTCAAAAACTTTAACTCCGAAAGATAGTTACGGGTTTAACGACTGAATCCATACAATCTAGACCGTCTATTAGCCATTCCAGAATGTTCTTTTGTTCAGGTTTCAAATTTTAATTCGAGAATTTGTCAAAATATATTTCGAAGCGTAGTCGCCAATTTGAAATTAGTGCCCTAAAGCACGAGAAAGCTGCCTTCTGATTGGTCATTCCATTGGTCGGTCAAAGTTCGCTCAAGGTCGGTCTGACGTGACACGTAATGGGATGTCATCAGATCTTTGTTTAGCGGTAGCGACAACTAAGATATGATTTTAATGAGATTGTTCTGGGGAATATTTTTTAAATTTATTTTCAAACAATAATGTCAGTCCATCATGGTTAGTTTGACTATGTGACTGACCCCATTTATAATCCCATGCAAATAATGAAATATGAAACGATGAGGAATCAGGATGAATACCCATGTGTACAGAGACCACTTGTTTGTAAATCTGTCAATAATGGTCCAGAAAGTGGGGTTTCCCCTCTAACAGGATCAGGACTAATGGGGTTTCTACTCTAATAGGGTCGGGACTAATGGGGTTTCCCCTCTAATAGGGTCGGGACTAATGGGGTTTCCCCTCTAACAGGGTCGGGACTAATTAGGTTTAACCTCTAACAGGGTCGAGACTAATGGGGTTTCTCCTCTAATAGGGTCGGGACTAATGGGGTTTCTCATCTAATAGGGTTGGGACTAATGGGGTTTCCCCTCTAACAGGGTCGGGACTAATTAGGTTTAACCTCTAACAGGGTCGAGACTAATGGGGTTTCCCCTCTAACAGGGTCAGGACCAATAGGGTTTCCCCTCTAACAGGGTGAGGACCAATAGGGTTTCCTCTCTAACAGGGTCAGGACCAATAGGGTTTCCCCTCTAACAGGGTCAGGACCAATAGGGTTTCCCCTCTAACAGGGTCAGGACCAATAGGGTTTCCTCTCTAACAGGGTGAGGACCAATAGGGTTTACACTCTAACAGGGTAAGGACTTATGGGGTTTCTCTACTAACAGGGTGAGGACCAATAGGGTTAACACTCTAACAGGGTGAGGACCAATAGGGTTTCCTCTCTAACAGGGTGAGGACCAATAGGGTTTCCTCTCTAACAGGGTGAGGACCAATAGGGTTAACACTCTAACAGGGTGAGGACTTATGGGGTTTCTCTACTAACAGGGTGAGGACCAATAGGGTTTCCTCTCTAACAAGGTGAGGACCAATAGGGTTTCCTCTCTAACAGGGTGAGGACCAATAGGGTTTCCTCTCTAACAAGGTGAGGACCAATAGGGTTTACACTCTAACAGGGTGAGGACCAATACGGTTTCCTCTCTAACAGGGTGAGCATGGTGAGGACCAATAGGGTTTCCTCTCTAACAAGGTGAGGACCAATAGGGTTTACACTCTAACAGGGTGAGGACCAATAGGGTTTACACTCTAACAGGGTGAGGACCAATAGGGTTTCCTCTCTAACAAGGTGAGGACCAATAGGGTTTCCTCTCTAACAGGGTGAGGACCAATAGGGTTTCCTCTCTAACAAGGTGAGGACCAATAGGGTTTCCTCTCTAACAGGGTGAGGACCAATAGGGTTTCCTCTCTAACAAGGTGAGGACCAATAGGGTTTACACTCTAACAGGGTGAGGACCAATAGGGTTTACACTCTAACAGGGTGAGGACCAATAGGGTTTCCTCTCTAACAAGGTGAGGACCAATAGGGTTTACACTCTAACAGGGTGAGGACCAATAGGGTTTCCTCTCTAACAGGGTGAGGACCAATAGGGTTTCCTCTCTAACAAGGTGAGGACCAATAGGGTTTCCTCTCTAACAGGGTGAGGACCAATAGGGTTTCCTCTCTAACAGGGTGAGGACCAATAGGGTTTCCCCTCTAACAGGGTGAGGACCAATAGGGTTTCCTCTCTAACAGGGTGAGGACCAATAGGGTTTCCCCTCTAACAGGGTGAGGACCAATAGGGTTTCCTCTCTAACAGGGTGAGGACCAATAGGGTTTCCTCTCTAACAGGGTGAGGACCAATAGGGTTTCCTCTCTAACAGGGCGAGGGCCAATAGGGTTTCCCCTCTAACAGGGTGAGGACCAATAGGGTTTCCTCTCTAACAGGGTGAGGACCAACAGGGTTTTCTCTCTAACAGGGTGAGGACCAATAGGGTTCCCTCTCTAACAGGGTGAGGACCAACAGGGTTTCCTCTCTAACAGGGTGAGGACCAATAGGGTTTCCTCTCTAACAGGGTGAGGACCAATAGGGTTTCCTCTCTAACCTGGTTGGACTAATGGAGTTTTACTAAGGATGCCTGCTTGAGGTCAGATACTCACTGTGTTCACACCGGTGTCCATAGAAGCCTGTACCATGGCAGTCACACTTGTAGCCACGCTGGCGCTGGTTGTCACTATCCATGCTTTGCACCTGGAGACACTCTCCATCATTTTCACAGGGCTGGAGGTTTTCACAGATGTTCAAATGACCTGGGAACATGAATATTAATAAAAAAAATAAGGGTGAAACATTGTTTTGATTATGGAGCAGATTGTTTTGACTGGGTGCCACCATTTTGTTTGAAGCAAATGCAAGTGATATGAGAGGTCGAATATGATTGGTCAAGAGGAGGGACATAGAAGAGACATAACTCTAAATAACCACTGCATGGTGGCGCTACGATCGAGCCAAGGAATTCTAGCCTAGCTCAGCAGGGGTGGAAACTGGTCAGCTAGCCCTACAAAGCAGCAACCAATTCTTGATCCTTGTTAAATCTTTGACCATTCTAGTGTGTTTTCTTCAAATTTGAAAACGGATGGTAGTCACGAGGGGTTGGTAGTCACTAGAGGCTGGTTGTCACTAGGGGCTGGTCGTCACTAGGGGCTGGACATGACGAGGGGTTGGTTGTCACTAGGGGCTGGTCGTTACGAGGGGTTAGTAGTTACTAGGGGCTGGTTGTTATGAGGGGTTGGTAGTCACTAGGGTCTGGTCGTCGAGTGGGGTTGGTCGTCTCTAGGGGCTGGTCGTCACTAGGGGCTGGTCGCCACCAGGGGTTGGTCGTCACTAGGGGCTGGTAGTCACGAGGGTCTGGTCGTCACTAGGGGGTTTGTAGTCACTAGGGGCTGGTCGTTACGAGGGGTTGGTCGTCACTAGGGGGTGGTCGTCATGAGGGGTTGGTCCTCACTAGGGGCTGGTCGTCACTAGGGGCTGGTCGTCACTAGGGGCTGGTAGTCATGAGGGGCTAGTCGTCACTAGGGGCTGGTCGATATGAAGGGTTGGTAGTCACTAGGGGCTGGTCATCACGAGGGGCTGGTCGCAACAAGGGGCTGGTCGTCACTAGGGGCTGGTAGTCACTAGGGGTTGGTCGTCACTAGGGGCTGGTCGTCACTAGTGGCTGGTTGTCATGAGGGGCCAGATCTGGTAAATAAGGTGGATGAGGCAGAAGTATGTATCTACATTCCTGTACAGCAGCCATTGCAACATGACAGGTGTGAACTGGAGCATTGTCCTGAAGGAGGAGAACACCACGATGAAGTTTGCTTCTTTGCAGTCTTTTCAAGAAGTAGGCATAATATTCACGATTCATAGTTGTTTCCTGTGGTAAATAAATTATCTGTGTTTTCCCCTCTTTGTTGTGAAAGAATGTGGCCATTATTCAGCCTTCCCATGGACAACATGCAGCCATTCTTCAAAACTCTTTGGTGATTGACCCTACAGGGACAAAAATGCTCTATACTCAATTTTTTCCATTTCAGTGATAGGGAGCATGGTACCCCTGAGTCGAAGTCACGCATCACCAAGTCACTGGACTGAAGCATGCCAACTTGTGACAGTTGACTCAGCAAACACACATCAATACTAACATATGTCACACGTAAGGATGACGACAACCAAGATATACCAGGCTCAAACGTTTCCGATATCCCCTTGTAGCACTTATGACATTAAAAGTATTCATAACCACACAGTGCCAGAGGTACAGAAGCTAACCTTGTACTATTAATGAAAATCTAGAGGTGAAAAAACTGCCAAATGTCACGACAAAGGTCATTAAGTCTGATTCTCATTCACAAACTTGCTGTTGTGGTGGCCTGTTTGAAAAGTTCAAGGATAGAACTGTAAGGAACATGTTGTGTTATTGATATACCATGACAGTTTGGTGGAAAGAAGATTTAAATGTAAAGTTTACAAATGGATAAATAGATGGTTATATGGAAGGAAACCCAGAAATCAACTTTTGTTTGTTTGTTGCTAAAACATTACATGGCATAATGTTAACACAAGGCATTCAAGTTTGGTTGAAACAAACCAGTGGTTGACATCAAGAGCAAATATCCCAACTAGGCTATGACAACACACAAACCTGCAGCTCTTTCACCTTGACAACATTGCAGGAAAACAGCAAACATGGCTGCCTACCATGAGATACACCATTCACCCTTTTGACATGTTCAACTCTCTCACAAGGACTGACCATTGAAGTCCTTCTGACACTCCTCCAGGGTGCTGTAGGGGAAGGGGTTCTTGCAGCCCACTGCCTCCCCACTCAGGCACTCCCTCTGGCTGTAGTCGATCTTACACCCCCGGAACTTCTGGTTGCAGTCCTTGCCCAGGGACACACACACCAACACTGTTACACAAAGTAGAAGGCAATAGGAAATATACATGTTCATGAGGATGTCAGACAATGATGATGAAGTCAGATAATGTTGGGTAATGATGATGATGATGATGATGATGATGATGATACAACCTAAGCTGCCTGTTTGAAGGACATCTTCCCTTGGCAAGGGAGTTAACTGACCATAAAGTCCAGTTTCTACCTTTGTCGAATTATGGAGTTATATTTGGCTGGTCTAACAAGTCTATGCATAGTCCAATCAGTCAAAAATGCATAACCAAATTGACATCCGGTTAGTAAAATGCAGTAAAGTATTCGGTCGATTGCAGGATATGCAAAGTATGTGTACTGCCAACTAGGCATCAACAAATATTTTCCAAATCTTTTCATGTCTTAAATCAAGGTGCTTGCGTGATTTCATGCACTTCACGAAGTGAGACCCGTTTTATAACAATATAGATTCTGATTATCGATCAGATCATCTTGAATGAGCGCCGCCATTTTTTTTAAGCCAATACAAGTGATATGAGAGGTCTGATTGGTCAATCGGAGGGACATAGAAGGGACTTGAATAGCCACTGATGGCGCTACGACCGAGCCCAGAAATTCGAGCCTAGTTCGGCAAGGGTGGAAACTGGACTTATAAAGTGAGTTAACTCACTTTCCTTAAGAAGATGTTTGAAGGATTGCATCCAGAATACAATTATATGCATAAAATAATAATTAACACCGGTTTATCCCACAAGGTCCCCTCTAAGATAAGACAAGAAAAAACATAATTTCCCATAAGTGAATTCCTTTTACATCAGAACATCATAGCATACAAATATTTCACAAGAACATAAAAAAGGAAACAAACATAAATACATGCTTAGTTATATATAGAAGTAACAACAAACAAATCATTACAATTTCACATTTAGGAGCCGCCATAGAATATGAATATTGGATAGAATCAAGCATCCAAGGGCTAAAGTTTTTGTTTGTTTTGTTTGTTTGTTTAACGCCACACCCAGCAATATTCCAGCTATATGATGGCGGTCTGTAAATAATCGAGTCGGACCAGACAATCCAGTGATTGATATCATGAGCATCAATCCACACAATTGGGATCGATGACATGCATCAACCAAGTCAGCGAGCTTGACCACCCATTCTGTTAGTCGCCTATTACGACAAGCATAATCGCCTTTTATGGCAAGCATGCATTTCTGAAGACCTATTCTATCCCTGATCTTCACGGGTCCAAAGGGCTAAGGATAGAGTTTGGGGTAACCTACCCTATCCCTAACGCAACTCACCCCATGGGGTTTGAAGAGGCATGTACAAATATCTATTTTCTGATACCAAATAAGTTTTCGTGAGATATATCTAATTTTAATGATACTATTGGGTGGCGAATAGATTATATAATTGCACCGCCATTTTTTAAAATAGTTATGTTTAGTTTGATTTACTGGGTTAAAAGAGGTCTCAGATCTTTTTAAATTGACATTTGGAACAAGGTATCTTCGTCCTGGTAGCAGAACAGTGGAAAATGGGTATAAAACATGGGAAGAGTTTTCGAAAATTTTAGAAACTAGAATAATACCAAGTTTATAAGATTATCAGATTATATAGTCTCCAGGGGCTTCACTGCTTGATTAACACAAATAGAATTAAAACAAAGTTCTTTGCCTTAGGAGACACAGTATGTTTCATTGTGAGTGAGTGAGTTGGGATAAGCACCGCTTTGAACAATATTTCTGTCATATCACAACGTGTCATGTTAATGTGGGAGAAATCCCTGAAGTGATGCAGGTCTTTGATGTTTTTGACATTGGATAAACCCAGGAGCAAGAGTATGGTGCTGACAAACCTAGAAACAATCAGGGTGAAGCTAGGATTTGAAACCAGGACAGCTGGTTTTAGTCATACATAAGGATAGTTACAAGCTAAGTGAGGAACAAAACACCAAAATCGATAAAACTACTTAAAGTCTAGATATAAGAAATTCATCTAAAAAACTTTTATTACGGTAACAGTTCTGAACTCCATTTGTATTAAGTTTCGGGCTTGATCGTAACCACAGAATGCTTAATATGGTTTTTGATATCTGCCGGTAAGGTATGCGTAAATATTTATATATTATAATGAGTGTAGACTCCAGTCTATGCGTAAGGGAGGTAATCTGGTATCCTTCTGGCAATCGGAATACTTTACTCATACACCATAAAGTGAGGTGACGTTGTTGTGATGACCAAAGCATACTTACGAAATAGAGAAACGACAGTAGCTTGATACATTGCAGTGATGCAGATTGAAGAAGAAAATCGAAAAATGTCGAGCGACAGATAAACTTTTCTGAGATGCTTGAACTTTTCTCTGACCCAGCCCACGGAAATGGAATAAGTGCAGCGTATAGTGGTTACCTCCCCTTTAATTTTATTCGTCAGCCCGTCAGCAGGGAAGAGATTTTTCAGGTTTGTACCGAGTGGCCGGATCGTTTTACGGAGATTGTCGATGTCTGCCGAGTAATGAGGCAATGGAAGTCATGTGATCTGGTGATTGTCACATGAGTAAATCGAAACGAAAGGTGTTACTTTATCTTTGGGGAGTGCAACGAGAGATAGCGCTACACACATGTAAGTAATGCAACAGACTAATGTTCTAAATCAGAAGACAGGCTGGCGTCATAGAAACAGATCTATACCACTAGATTTAATTATTTATTTCAATTTCCACTGAGGGCATCGGAGCGCCGGTCGATTTAGACAGTACGTATTTACCTGTCTGTGCTTGCGAGTTGCTAACCTATAAAAGATACAGCCGAGAGACGCACGTTAAGCGCACGTTAAATCTCCAAAGTAAGTAAGTAAGTAAGACGAGATGGGATCCTGCCTACTGTCAAGACATGACCCTACATGACGACGCGGTCCTACAGTCAAGGCAGTGATGTAGGGTTTTGTCTTGACTGTAGCACACGATCGTGATGTGGGGTATGAATGTCTTAGTACTCTTACAGTTACACCCCACCGCGGCTCTCGGCTATGAAAGATAATGACGTTCTATTGTCAGTTGTTTCTCACTCAAGATGTCAAAAGCAGGTATATATATAGGCCTAGTTTGTGCACTGAGCTGACATTTAGAATTGAATGCCAGCCTCCATATAATTCTCTTCGCTTCCCTTCGCTGAGCACAGCCGAAGCATGTCTTTTGGCGCATAACATAAACCAGAGACCATATACCGATCTCTGCATAGACAGACCCTTATGTATGAATGATCAGGTGTGCATCTTTGTTCAATTTATGATGATACATTCAAAACAATATTTTTTTTATCCTTGATGTTACACTTCCGCCCATAACACCCCTCAATTATAGATAGATAGGTGGAAGAAACAAGCTATATGTAATATATATAACTGTTGGAAGGGGGATACAGCCGAAGTCTTTCCGGGAAATCTTCAGAATCAAAACTCCTCCTGTCCCATCTATACCCCATGGACATATATCGCCTCTATATTTGCAAATCCTGGGGACTCTCAGTACAAGTTGTGCAGTAAATGGATGACGAATGTACGACCCGTGAAGATTCCGGGGTAGAATAGGTCTTCAGCAACCCATGCTTGCCATAAAAGGTGACTATGCTTGTCATAAAAGGCGACAAACGGGATCGGGTGGTCAGGCTCGCTGACTTGGTTGATGCATGTCATCGATCCCAATTGCCTGGATCGATGTTCATGACATTATTCACTGGATTGTCTGGTCCAGACTCGATTATTTACAGACTGCCGTCATATAGCTGAAATATTGCTGAGTGCGGCGTGAAACAACAAACTAACCAACCAACCAACAGTAAATTAGATACACAAACATGTATGTGTGATGCCTTATCCCGACTTATTCAGTTTAGATGGTAATCATGGTAATTTCCTTGTTTGATTCGAAACTGAGTGCAGTGCCGTAGTTAACTTTTTTTGACAGGGGGGGCAAATGAGATTATTCATTTCTTATTCAAGTTAACTTTCACAAGGAAATATGTTTTCTATAAAAAAAATCCAGGGGGTGCAACTGCCCCCCCCTGCACCCCCGGCTGGCTACGGCACTGGAGTATTAAGTGAAGAAGCTGACATTGATTGTATTTTTTATAACAGAATATCAGATAATTCATACTTACATGCTTTAATTTAATTAATCCTACTAAAATCCATACTTATATTTGCATTCAATGAGATTTGCAGTGGATATTATTTGCGTCCTTTCTTAATTTTAATGAGTATTTGCATGCGCTATTTTGCATCCGGTAAAACCCTGATAGCCTTTAACAGTGTATAAGTATATTAGGTGTTCTTGGATTCCTGTGGTCAGATGGTCACATGCTGTGATGAAGCCTACATGTTCTGCTTTGTCACAGTGTTTATTATAGATTTCCTTGTCAGCTGATTTGCACAGCTGGTACCTTAGTTGTAAAGTGTTGCCTCTCAGTTAGTCCTGATGCTTGCTCACCGTCTTCAGCTTTGTAATCATTGTGGAAACTGTTGAAGTGAGTTTTCCAGTTTTTGTAGTGAAAGGTAGAAACTTGGCCTGTCAGGTGCCTCAATCTGACAGTGTGGGTTCGAATCCCGGATGAGCATCAACCCCCAAAATGTTCTAGAATCTGTACTTTACTGAGAAAGTGTTGTCCCAAATATAACATTTGTTACATTTGACCACTTTCTAAATGGCATTGTGTGCATTTACTAGGAAAATCGGTTACGGTTTGATTAGAATTCTTAACCAGTTCATTGAAGCAGATCCAGAATCTTGAAAAATGGGGATGCACATAATACCGAAGTAACAGATCTAGAGTAACTTGGCCGAGGGCACAGTTATCATGTCAGGTGTCTGAATTAAGGGGGGACCTGCACCCCCCTCCGGATCTCCGTGTCGTAATGATTTCGGTATTCATTATGCCAGTGTAGTATTATAAATAATCATTTGCAGTTATGTTTATGAAGCTTATCAATATGCTCACAGTCGGATGTATTCACTGTAAGAAGACACTGAGTCCACAGATTGCAGCAGCCTATCAATGGTGTAATCTGCATGCACTGTATCACAGAGAATCTGTGCATCATCATGGCTGGCAACCATTGTGGAACATAACTCAGTATTGCACTGTAAATGTTTGTAATATTTTGATACAGTGATCCCTCGCTACAACGCTACTTTCGGGGTCCAAATAGTTGATGAGGGTTATAGATGATCAGGTCGAGTCGTAGGTGGTAGATGACCAACAAAACAGTACATGCTCTCCCTACCTAACACGATCTACGCTGCACGTTTCAGAGTTTAAAAAAAGATTAGAATAGAAGTTGTTTATGATTCATAGTGTTAAAAAAGATTTATCGAGTATTAATATGCGCTTTAAAAAAACCACATTGTATCCCTTCAGCGAATTCAGGTGAATAAACAGGTATAACAAACTTGGTCAATAAAAGTATGAAATTTGATATAAAACATCACTAGACATGATGTTTTACCAAATGTATTTCCTGCTCTCCAAGGCATTGTTTTATCATGAATGGCTAATTGGATGCAATACAGTTTCAGTAAGGCAAGTAGTTGGTTCAAGATTTAGCAAACCATGACGCCCTCAGTAAAAGCTTAATAGATTGTTTGGGAATAGAAGTTTCAAGTAACTGCTTTTCATACCAATAATAAGACCATGACCCGACAAGGATAAAAGCCTGTTACCATGGATGCAGTAAGTAACTTAATCACAACGAACTATTTTGAAAGTTGATGGTTATTGCACGTCATACATTGTTAATTTCCAATGCTGATCTTGGTAGAAGTCAAAGACAGTGAGTTAATAACCATATTCAAACTCTTGAAGAATGACTTTATCAAACTCATTCATAGAAAATAGTCTATTTGTACTGTGAAATAAAAGTTTATATCCTCCTGATCACATCTGCACAATCAGTATTACCCTGTTTCTAACCTGTCCTTGCTGATACAGTGTTGTATATGGAAGAGGTTCATTGTTTCTATCATGGCTTATGTATACATAGTTCATTGAATGTTGCAAATTGTTGATGGAATGTTACACATCATAAACATGATAAATGGAATGTTACACATTTTGAATCATCGTTGATTTGTTCATAGTTTTGTTATTTTTAAGCAATGTTAACATGGTTCAAGAAATGTCTAGGATTCTAAACTTGGTAAGAAAAATCAGTATTTTGGTTAACGTGTTCAAACAAGATTTGAGATTTATTTTAGTTCCAATAGACAGACATGGGGCCATGGCATCAGCTAACCTTTGTGTTGTTTGTTTTTAGTTTAACACTGCACTCAGCAATATTCCAGCTCTATGACGGCGGTCTGTAAATAATCAAGTCTGGTCCAGACAATCCCGTGGTTGACATCATGAACATCAATCCACACAATTGGGATCAATGACATGCATCAACCAAGTCAGCGAGCCTGATCACCCACCCCGTTAGTCGCCTCTTACGACAAGCACAGTTGCCTTTTACGGCAAGCATGGGTTGCTGAAGACCTATTCTACCCTGGATCTTCAGGCATCATCTAACTATTTCATGTACTTCTTAACATGTTAACAGTGCTTACAATGAAACAAATAAAAGTAGTAGTAGTAGAAGTAATAGTTGTAGTAGTAGTAGTACAAGGCTGTAGTTTACTTTTTTTGACAGGGGTGGGGGGGGCAAACATTTGTACAACCTTTATTTTCATTATTCAAATAAAACTGTTTTCTATATAAAATACAAGGGGGCAACTGCCCCACCCCTGCTGGCTACAGCACTGTAGTAGTAGTAGTAGTCGTAGAAGTAGTGGTAGTATTGATATAAAATCCACTCAAATAGCCAATAAAATCATGGTGTTTCCCCTTTTCCAGCTGACATCGACCATGGAAATGTACCTGTGTCTGCTACTGCTGTGTGGGGTCGTGCATGGACTTAACAATGGCCTCGCCCGCACACCACCCATGGGATTCTTGTCCTGGGAGCGATTCCGGTGCAACTTGGATTGCAAGAACGACCCTGAGAACTGTGTCAGGTAATGCCAGTTGTTTGTTTGTGTATGTCTGTACCAGTGTTCAATGCTTGTCAGGACCACCTCCAGGGTGGTGTGGATAGAGTGTCTGTTTGTGTATGTCTGTCCCAGTGTTCAATGCTTGTCAGGACCACTTCCAGGGTGGAGTGGATAGATTGTCTGTTTGTATATGTCTGTCCCCAGTGTTCAATGCTTGTCAGGACCACCTCCAGGGTGGAGTGGATAGAGTGTCTGTTTGTGTATGTCTGTCTGCAGTGCTCATTGCTTGATCTGATTGACCAACAGTTACTAAGCTGATGTTATTTGTAATCAGCAAAGTTTGTATGTAATAATTATGTATGATAATCTGTTTTAAATTGTCTATCCATCAGGAATTCATGTATAGGTCTTGCCAAGTCTTGACCTGAGCAAATTAATTCACTTGGACAGATATTATCATGGCTATGTAATGCCCCATAGCTTTTAATAATCCACTTTGGCTGTTTAGGGAACTTCATGCAGTTGTTTTGTGATAGGTGAAATCAACATGGTAAATAACTGTGTGGTCAACAGTAACAGTCTTGACAGTTTCAACATGTCAGACAACAGTCATATCCTGTGCATGTGCAGGACCACCTCCAGGGTCGTGTGGATAGAGTGTCTGTTTGTGTATGTCTGTCTGCAGTGTTCAATGCTTGTCAGGACCACCTCCAGGGTGGAGTGGATAGAGCGTCTGTTTGTGTATGTCTGTCCCCAGTGTTCAATGCTTGTCAGTACCACCTCCAGGGTGGAGTGGATAGATTGTCTGTTTGTGTATGTCTGTCCCCAGTGTTCAATGCTTGTCAGGACCACCTCCAGGGTGGAGTGGATAGAGTGTCTGTTTGTGTATGTCTGTCCCCAGTGCTCATTGCTTGTCAGGACCACCTCCAGGGTGGAGTGGATAGATTGTCTGTTTGTGTATGTCTGTCTGCAGTGCTCATTGCTTGATCTGATTGACCAACAGTTACTAAGCTGATGTTATTTGTAATCAGCAAAGTTTATATGTAATAATTATGTATGATAATCTGTTTTAAATTGTCTATCCATCAGGAATTCATGTATAGGTCTTGCCAAGTCTTGACCTGAGCAAATTAATTCACTTGGACAGATATTATCATGGCTATGTAATGCCCCATAGCTTTTAATAATCCACTTTGGCTGTTTAGGGAACTTCATGCAGTTGTTTTGTAATAGGTGAAATCAACATGGTAAATAACTGTGTGGTCAACAGTAACAGTCTTGACAGTTTCAACATGTCAGACAACAGTCATATCCTGTGCATGCATAGCTCATAATAAGGTGTAGTTGTTCACAGTTTCACCAGCTACCTTAGTTCAGGTATTAGGTGTCAGTGTTGCATTGCAGGGAGTCCTGTAGGGAGTTATCTAGGCCCGCTCAGAGGGCGATAATCAGACCAAAGTCTGCAGTAAATGTTGGATTAATGTTGATTTTGTATAAAATTGGATTTGGAAACTCTCCACCACTTTGTTCTTTTCATGTTAATTTATTGTTGATTAGAATGATTAGGATACTGTCCCAGATGCTTCGTGCTCGATCATGTTGATTAGCAAAGGTGTGCTGGAAACGAGTGATTGTGGGTTCGAGACCTGTGAAGATCTGAGTTAGAATAGTTCTTCAGCAACCCAAAGTTGACGGGGGATATAGAAACAGGCTCTGTCCGTCCGTCCGTCCGCCCGTCACGTTTCGTTTCCGGAGCATTACTCAGAAACCGTTCAATATGTTTTCATCAAACTTTGCAGGTCTGTCAGATATATGCTGAACTGGTGCCTTTTGGTATTTAGAAATTTTAGAAATTTTTATTTTTTATGTTTCCATGGCAACAAGATGGACTTAGGTTCCAAACTCTTCTTTTTTTACAATTTCCATGACAAGTTCCACCTCGGTTAAAAAAGGTTAGGGACGGGGGATATAGCCACGTTAGTGGCAAACTCTTGTTTTGTCAGCACCTTACCTGGTTTGTGAGTTTCACCAAAGTGGTATTTTACATCTAAGACTGCATTAATTCTGACTTTCCTCCCAGATCAAACTATTCAAAGTGACTTACACTCACCACGCTCACTTGCTTGATCATTAGTGTTCAACACTCTTATCATGCTTATAACTGATAAATACTTTTCAACACACGTTCTCATTTTTGTTTATTTCTCTCCTGTCTGTCCCCAGTGAACATCTGTACAAGTCCATCGCTGACGTGATTGTGGCTGAAGGTTACCGCGACCTGGGGTATGAGTATGTGAACATTGATGACTGTTGGCCCGCCAAGACCCGTGATGCAGCTGGCCGTCTCCAGCCCGACCCCAACCGGTTCCCCAGCGGCATGCATAACCTGTCTCAGTATGTAAGTACCACATGTAGGGAACCTCAGTAGAAGGGGCAGTAGGGTAGCCTTGTGGTTAAAGGAATTGCTCATCACACTGACCACTCAGTTTGATTCTCCACATGGGTAAAATGTTTGAAGCCCATTTTTTGCCTACCCGCTGTGACATTTCTGGAATATTGCAAACAATGGCATAAAGCAGGAATCACTCACTCAAAACACCAAATTGAATTTTTGTGAGAGTAGATAGCAGAACAATTTAAAGGTACGTTTTTTCCAAGTGAGGGGTGGTTGCTACTAGTTATAACTAATGGCTCATGGCTTTTTTCAAAGTAGTGAACATCTTAATTTTGGACTTTCCACCCACATCAAGCTGACACTCATACAAATGACTCATATACAGTGGTTTACTGGAACAAACACAGATATGACATACTGGCAGTTACAACTAACTACGTCAAGAGTCCTGACTATTATTATATATTACAACATAAATTGTATGCATGTAGTATCTATTAGTCAGTATTTTAGTATGAGTTACAAACTGGTCTGATTCAGAGTCAGCAACCATACCCGATGAATCGAACAATGTACTTGTTCCGTCATCACTACTCTACACTTACAAAGGAGCGGTTGGGTAGCCTAGTGGTTAAAGCGTTCGCTCGTCATGCCGAAGACCCGGGTTCAATTCCCGACAATGGTACAATGTGTGAAGCCGATTTCTGGTGTCCCCCGCCGTGATATTGCTGGAATATTGCTTAAAGCGGCGTAAAACCATACTCACTCACTACACTCTACACTATATCAGTGGCAATCAACACTTCAGTGTCAAATTATTTCATCTACATCAATAAGGAGACCTCAGAAATATGTAGGTGAGCTGCAGAGCCAAGGCTGTTTCCATCTTATGTCATGTGATGATTCAAGATCAAGGTTCATGGTCAGAGTCCGTCTGTCCCCAGCAAAGTGTACTGGTCATAAGAGGCCACCAAGTAGATCAGATGGTCAGATTGATGGTCATCTACTGCGTGTATCATTGCTCATGCTCTTGTCCAGGCTCGGTTATATACATGCCGCTGTCATATAGCTGGATATTGCCGAGGGTGGTGTTGAACAACACCAACAAATGTAATGCGAGACATTGTCACTGTTGTCTGTTTAGATGCACGCCAGAGGACTGAAGCTTGGCATTTATGAAGACTTTGGCAAGAGAACATGTGCTGGCTACCCTGGGAGTGAATTCTTCCTTCGCACAGATGCAAACACGTTTGCGGAGTGGGAAATAGATCTTCTCAAGTTTGATGGATGTAATTCTGATCCGAAAGATATGGACATAGGTAGGTTCAACATGATCATGATAATGGGAGAAGGTTTAAGACCGTGATATGGTCAAGTTAATAGATATTTTGAACATTCATTATATTGTGTGTCAGCTCATTCAGTGTCAAATGTGATATTTGATGGGCTAACATAGTTAATCAAAATTATCTTGTTAAGTCTAAAAACAAATTGTAAAAAAACCCTCAGAAACACTGCGTTTGCAAAATGGGTCCCATGGCCCTGTATCATGTATTTTTTCTCAAACCTGGCCCATTGTATTCATAGATACCAACTGACATATTTTGATCCTTCTGAAGCTCTGTTTGTTTTTCGTACATGCCCGCAATCCTCCCTTGCCTGTTTCTGCATGCTTCAAGGAGTATGGATGTGTTCTGTCAACCACTGGTTGTCTTGTCAGGACTCCTTTACGAGGTTGCAGCTGTGTCCTCGATTATCCAGGGTATTTTAATCTCTATTCTGTTAAGATATGAACCCTAGACCCATTGTCAGCCATAGCTTTGTTTTGGAAGTGAAATCACACTCTCCAGGTCTCTTAGCACTAACTTAATGCAGAATTTCTCACACTAGAAATTAACAACCAATCAAAATGAGTCTTCTCATTGCAAGTATGGCATACATCCATATTCAAAATTGCTGCCTTGTACAAGCATGTCCTTGGTCATAAAGGTATATTTAATGAAAAAAGAGACTTTTAAATCAACTTTTTGCTGAAAATGATGTTTTCATGAGTATTGTCGTATTCGACATAATAAGCTCTCAGGGCGCTCTCAAAATTAGAAATAGGGGGCTCTTATAAGAATATTATTTTGGTGGAAAAAAACAGAGTTGTAAGATAAATATCATAGTTTATGGTACAATGGATCATTGAGGATGAGCTACCTTTGGCTTGAATATTGCTGATCAATCAAACCATTTTGTGACTTGGTGGTCAAGTCAACGGGACTAAAAGGGCCCTCGTCAAACCTTGGTCCATCTAATAAATCTCTTGTTTTGGGGAACGTGAACAGTTACATGAATATGAGGAAATAAGGTAAGTAGGTCAGGATTAAGGGGATGACTAGTTTATATTATGAGGGGTTTCTGGGATTTATTTAAGAAACCCTTTTCCCCAAAATGCTGGAAATAAATAATTTGTCATCAGGCTTTACACAATGTTGAAAAGGAAGTCTTCACTGGACATCCTGGGTTTTCTGACAAATAATGTTTCGTGGATCAGTAAGTTATTTAAGGCTCCTTCGTTCACAAAAAAGAATTGTATGTTTTTGATTGCTGACTGCAGACTAATTTGTCTCAGAGAAAAATCCCAAGCCCAGAGTCATCTTCCCAAGGCAAGGGAGTTAACTGGCTACAAAAGTCCAGTTTCCACCCTTGCCGAACTAGACTGGAATTTTAGAGTTATGTTTTGGCAGGACTAATGAGTCTATGCATAGTCTCATCAAAATTACATTAAGAAATGAACATTCTTTTTTCGTAAACTGCTGTGAGATTTTGTTCGGTTGCAGGATTTTCAAAACATGTAAATCGTCAACTGGGTGTTGACAGATATTTTCCAAATCTATTTATGTTTTTGATCAAGGTGCTTAAGGAATTTTATGCACTTCTCGAGGTAAGACCCTATTCATTACAATCTAGATCTTGATTATTGATCACATCGTCATTTTGTCAGAAGCAAATGTAAGTCATATGATAGGTGGAATCTGATTGGTCAATAGGAGGAACGTAGAAGGGACATAACTCATAATAGCTACTGGTAGCGCTACGATGGAGCCACAAAATTCCAGCCTAGTTCGACAAGGGTGGAAATTGGACTTTTATGGCCTGTTAACTCCCTTGACTCAGGAAGATGACTGTGGGGCATTAAATGGTCAGTACCTAAATGCCCACTGACAGACAAATGCTGATTTGGAGTGGGCATATTTGTTTGGTCAAACAAATTCAAAAGTTAAAGCTGGCCACACACATTTTTTCAGCCAGCTAGCTGTGAGGTCAGGTGGCTTCCCCGAAACAAATGCTTATTTTATTGGTGCCTTTGAAATAACCCAATGTTTATCATGCTTATGTTTGGCCATCACAGGGTATCCGTTGATGAGTATGTTCCTGAACATGACCAACCGACCCATGCTCTTCTCCTGCGAGTGGCCGCTCTATAGTAACCAGGTTGGAATTGCCTCCCATGCTACATCGCTAATCAAGCTCCTTCCCAGCGCATGACACCTTCGTTACACTCTCGGTAACATCGCTGCCACCAGTGTGGGCACAGCCGTCGCAAGACTCGAAATTTGCCCTCTAACCCCAAATGTTGTAACATTTATACTTTCATTTATGACTTTGGGAATGTCATCACGGTTAATTTTGAAAAGATTTACAACTGACCATATTTCCCAGATTAATTTACCTTTTTGTTTGTTTAAACAGATTGATTTGAGATTACAGACGAGGGATAATCAATGAACCCTTACATCATGTACATTCTTACTATACCAATTACATTATAGTTGTAATGAAACAGAAACCCAAATTGACAAACAATGAAAATAATTTAGCAGGTGTTAGGTATTCTGCGTCACGGCAATCATCACTCGTTTGTAAACATAATGATCAGTCGGTTGCGAGTTCAACTCCAAGCATGGTTGTTGCCACTTATCACAGTGGGGAGCTTTGACTGGTGGCAGCGATAGTATAGAGAGCTCTACAAAGGGGATATCGCTGTGAGGAGCTTGATTCATAATGACAGTGACAATCTCTTTCAGAAAACAGCCACATATGGAGATGTTGTGAAAGGTGCTGTAACCTTGTACATGTGTCTGACCTGGACACAGACATATGTTGTCCAAAGATGAAGGAATGTTTGCAGCAGATATTCAGAAGCATCAGGTTGACAGCATAGAGCTATAGGTCACATATGGTCATGTATGGTACATGCGTTTATATTGAAGAATAGAAAAAGAAACAAAAACCATGGTGTCTTGACATTCTAGGTTAAGCTATCAATACATGCACTATGTGAAATGTGAAAACACTTTTAAATACAATAGTTTGGTACACCAAGAAGAGGTGAACATAGTCTCCCTCGTGTGTCTTGAATATTTGCATGCATTCCTCTTGTTTTCCTTTTGTCTTTGGACAAAACGTGTTTCTGTTCTTGTTGGTGTACAGACAGGCGCATGTGATAACTGCTGCAGTAGAAACTATAGTTAAACCCAACTGGGATCCACTGACATTACCTCATGCCTCAGGTTATTCCACGATGAGCAAGTTCCTGAATCTGACCACACGACCAATGCTGTTCTCTTGTGAGTGGCCCGGGTACCAGAGAGCTGTAGGAATCAAGGTGGGCCTGGTTGAGGCTTGGCTGGGTGCTGATGCTTGTTGCATGATCTGCATGGGATGTTGTCTACTACTGCTCCTTGTTCATGGGTTATGTGGTCAAGAGGTTATGTGTTTCTTTAAGGCGTTGCATTTGCTAATGGTATGTCTTCGGGGTTTGTGGTGAAGGGGTCCTGTATTCAAGTTTGTGGTCAAGGGGTCCTGTATTCAGGAGGTTTGTGGTCAAGGGGTCCTGTATTTAGGTTTGTGGTCAAGGGGTCCTGTATTCAGGAGATTTGTGGTCAAGGGGTCCTGTATTCAGGAGGTTTGTGGTGAAGGAGTCCTGTATTCAGGAGGTTTGTGGTCAAGGGGTCCTGTATTTAGGTTTGTTGTCAAGGGGTCCTGTATTCAGGTTTGTGGTGAAGGAGTCCTGTATTCAGGAGGTTTGTGGTCAAGGGGTCCTGTATTTAGGTTTGTGGTCAAGGGGTCCTGTATTCAGGAGATTTGTGGTCAAGGGGTCCTGTATTCAGGAGGTTTGTGGTGAAGGAGTCCTGTATTCAGGAGGTTTGTGGTCAAGGGGTCCTGTATTTAGGTTTGTTGTCAAGCGGTCCTGTATTCAGGTTTGTGGTGAAGGAGTCCTGTATTCAGGAGGTTTGTGGTCAAGCGGTCCTGTATTCAGGAGGTTTGTGGTCAAGGGGTCCTGTATCCAGGTTTGTGGTCAAGGGGTCCTGTATTCAGGTTTGTGGTCAAGGAGACCTGTATTCAGGTTTGTGGTCAAGGGGTCCTGTATTCAGGAGGTTTGTGGTCAAGGGGTCCTGTATCCAGGTTTGTGGTCAAGGGGTCCTGTATTCAGGTTTGTGGTCAAGGGTCCTGTATTCAGGAGGTTTGTGGTCAAGGAGACCTGTATTCAGGTTTGTGGTCAAGGGTCCTGTATTCAGGAGGTTTGTGGTCAAGGGGTCCTGTATTCAGGTTTGTGGTCAAGGGTCCTGTATTCAGGAGGTTTGTGGTCAAGGAGACCTGTATTCAGGAGATTTGTGGTCAAGGGGTCCTGTATTCAGGTTTGTGGTGAAGGAGTCCTGTATTCAGGAGGTTTGTGGTGAAGGGGTCCTGTATTCGGGAGGTTTGTGGTGAAGCGGTCCTGTATTCAGGAGGTTTGTGGTCAAGGGTTCCTGTATTCAGGAGGTTTGTGGTCAAGGGGTCCTGTATCCAGGTTTGTGGTCAAGGGGTCCTGTATTCAGGTTTGTGGTCAAGGGTCCTGTATTCAGGAGGTTTGTGGTCAAGGAGACCTGTATTCAGGAGATTTGTGGTCAAGGGGTCCTGTATCCAGGTTTGTGGTCAAGGGGTCCTGTATTCAGGTTTGTGGTCAAGGGTCCTGTATTCAGGAGGTTTGTGGTGAAGGGGTCCTGTATTCAGGAGGTTTGTGGTCAAGCGGTCCTGTATTCAGGAGGTTTGTGGTCAAGGGGTCCTGTATCCAGGTTTGTGGTCAAGGGGTCCTGTATCCAGGTTTGTGGTCAAGGGTCCTGTATTCAGGAGGTTTGTGGTCAAGAAGACCTGTATTCAGGAGATTTGTGATGAAGGGTTCCTGTATTCAGGTTTGTGGTGAAGGGGTCCTGTATTCAGGTTTGTGGTCAAGGGGTCCTGTATTCAGGAGGTTTGTGGTCAAGGGGTCCTGTATTCAGGAGGTTTGTGG